GATTCTCTAGTTTTGCGAAATCACTGTTAAAACCATTCACTCGTCCATTGAATCTCAATGTATAATACAATACAAAACTTATAATTAAGAAACTCTTCATTTTGATCACTCGATATGTTTAACTATTATTTTCTAAATCTTTTTTTTTTGCACAAACAGTAAATTCTCTTCACTACACGTCCATTGATTTCTGCAATCTGTTTATAGCTTTCCCCATATTTTTGTTTTTAAATTACGTAACAGTGTTTTAACATTGAAAACTGAATAATGTAGTTTAAAACTATTAATTAGCAACTCTCAATATTAAAATCATGGAATTAAATATTAATTAATTATTGAAATAGAATTAACATGGAGGGGGTCCTGGGTGACTCAATAAACCGCGATATATTCCCGAATCGGGTTAATAATATCATTTCATTGTATTGCTATAATTAGTTTAATAATATAAAAATTGTTTTCTTTATTTATTAGTTATATAATATTCAGCCTGCAAATCTTATGATTATCGTCCTAGTGGTTTTCAAATATAAGGTTACGCTTAAAACAATCTTTAAATTTATGTTTATTAATTTTAAAACAGTAGTATATGTTAGTCTTAAGCCGGATATAATGTTTGCTGTATGATTTTATTAAAGAAATAATTTTCTAGAAATTACTTTTGAAATGATTTCTAATTTAAATAAATGATTAAATATTTGATTAGTGCTGCGAACGAGTGGTACGTTGAGTGCAGTGTTGTGTCTTATAAACACGAGTTTTGTAAAATGCTGTCAAATCAGTATCTCTTATGTTATATCATTGGCAATAATTTCATGGCTATCAATGTCATATCAATCATTTAGTTACAGTGAAAATAGTGTAGATTTAGTGAATATTCTTTACATATGTAATATCGGTTTAACCCCAAAAGACCTAAAACCGAAAAGACCTAAACTTAAATAGCTAACTGACCAGTGGACATATTTTTAATTTAACGAGTGCAATATACGCGTCTTTACCCAACCTAACCTAAATTAAGTCAAATGACTCAATTGGTCAGTTAATAATTTGAGTGTAGGTCTTTTAGGTGAGTCCCGTAATATCTAGCCTTTTACACTATAATACCTAACCATCAGTTACCCTCATAAATCAGGGTTTATGATATAAATGCTTATTTATATTTATTGTGGCATAAGAGGGGAGAATTTTTATTTTTCAATAATATAAAATTTTAATCAAAAAATATGCTTATAGATTTACACAAATCTAACAGGTATTGTTGGTTCCATTGATATTAATAATTTGTATACTAATTTAATTCAAACATGTATTTTAATTTAAAAATAAAAATAATAAACTCGATTATGATAAACAAAATCATGATCACAAATAATAATATTAGTAGTTAAAATATATCTATGTTTAATATTTTTATTTTAAACATTTAAAAAATAATATAATAATAATAATGAACTCTATAAAATATGATATCTGATAGACCAAATTGAGATCGGCCTCTGAAAAGTTGCTTTTATTTCTTCTTGACACATTGCTTTTCTGTAAAGTTTGAAAATTATCATGTTTAATATAAGTAAATTTCAAACTTTACAGAAAAGCAATGTGTCAAGAAGAAATAAAAGCAACTTTTCAGAGTCCGATCTCAATTTGGTCTATCAGATATATTAAAAATATAATATAATATAAAGTATTGTCATATTTTTCAAAAAACATTTTTATATAACACCATCGGTTTCGACATCATTTGCTTTGAGTGTCACTCCAGTCATTGCAATCACATTATTATTGTCACCATTTGTGGTCTCCTTTTCCACTTTACTATCGATGGGGTCGTCATAAAAATTTGTGAGACGTTTCTTGGCATTCCAAATAATACCAAGATCCATTAGTGAGCCAACGCACATGAATGCCAGTGCCGTGCCGTGTAGGTAGTACCTGAACTTATCCTGGTCATATATCCAACAGTTACCTGTCTTCCCACACTTGCTCTCCCATACCAAACACGTCGAGTCGACTACCGCTCCGAATATCAACGGATACGGAATGAACGCTAACATAGAGTTCAATAAAACAATTGTTTATAACTTTTATATTACTATGAAATCACACATTAATATAATTTATTTTTAATAATTTGCTAAATCTAACGATTATAATGGCACTATATAATGCTTACCAAATATAGCCATAAAAGTACCCATCACACCCATGGCAAAACTTTTGTCTTTCGGATCCAGAGCTCTATAAAAACAGTATATTCGCAGTCATTATTAATATACAAAATTATTTTATCAATATTTGATACCTAAGTGTAAGCAATGAATTGCCAGTCCTGGCAGTGGACGACACTATACCGGCGACTGTCATCATAATTAAATAGGGCATCAAATTATTGCAGTTATCCGTATCACTTTGACAGAAACCTGTGGTGNACGAATACCACTTTTTCTGGTCTCAAAGATAAACCTATTTTTCGTTTGTCTGAAAATGTATATGAATTATGTCGAGGAGAAAGACTTTTGAATGACTCGATTGCCTCTAAACTCAAGTGTTTTTACTTAAACACAACGAAAACACCGTTTTTACGGTTGACTCGCATTAAAGTGGAAGAGATGTACAAAAGTCCGCAAATCGTTGTAATCCATGAATTCCTGTCTGAATACGAGACACAAACTATCATCACTTTGGCTGAGGTATCATCAAATTGGTTATACTCCGGACGAACAGTTAATATTGATATCAATATAGTTGGCGTCCGAATGGCTCAACGAAGTCGTCTTTTGGATAGAAAACACAAAGTCCTGCATAAAATCAGTCGACGTATAGGTGCCATTACTAGCCTTAATATGGAGTTTGCCGACTCATACAAAGTTATTAAGTATAGTGTCGGCGGATATATTGACGACCACAATGACGCGGAAGTTTCTATACTCAAACCAAACACATCATTCACCGTAAGAGTGCCGATAGTTTCGTGGCTCAACTACCTGAGCGATGTGGGTGCCGGTGGGGCCACTGTATTCCCACTCATCAATGTGACCGTTTGGCCCACAAAATACTCGGCACTATTTTGGCACAATTTGGACAAATCAGGTGAACGCGATGGACATACACTTCACAGCGGGTGTCCTGTACTGGTGGGACACAAATGGATTGCCATCAAATTGATCCATTCAATTGGACAGGAGTTTCGCAAACCATGCGATCCATATAATCAACAATCACGTCATTACACTCAATGAGACAAACATATAATGTGTTCAATAAATCAACTTTTTTTGTAATGATATAATTATACAATAATTTTCCCGTAGACTTAACATGGGATATTGGGTACATTGTAAGCTATTTCCTTATAAGCTTAAATTAAGCAATTTTCCAAAAGATAACGTGTGAAATTAAATCCATTTTAACTAATTTCCCTACATATTTTCTATCATGGGTTATTTAGTAGGTTTTAGGAATATTTTAATAATTATACATGTCCATGTTGCTATGTATGGAATTAACACTTCATTAATAGCAGTGTTCCTGAATCTTTAATTATTGAATATAATAAAATTGAATTAAAATAACAAAATTTTTATATTGTTTCATGCTATATAAAATTTGTTTAAACATGTTTGTCCTAAAATTTGTATTACAGTAGTTTTACTAAAAATTTAAATTCTTTCTAGTTGATTTATATTAAATTATATATAATTCAATATTAGACCTCGTTTTTAATAAGACTTATTATGTTTGGTTAAATATGTGTCCAATATGGAGTCCATCTGTAAATGATTTATAGACTGCTATCGGTGTCCACCACACCAGTACCACCTTTTTAATTGAACATGAACTAACGTTATAATTAAATTAATTTTAAAAATAAACCGGCAACACTTTATGTGAAACATGTTTTCAATTATATTAATATTAAATACTTGCGTCAATTGTAAGTAATATAATTAGTAGTATCAAAAGTATTTAATTAATTTAGTAATATTGATAAAGTATTGTGTTATTTTTGCGTACATGTTTAGTTTTAGATACCGTACGATTCCTAAGAATTCTTTTGCCCTATAACATTACCATGGTTAATAGGTTAATTTAGAATATAACGACATGGGATTTTTAATTTTAAAAGTAGATTTTTAAAATATATTTCAGGTTCAATAGAAATTTCCAGAAGATATAGATCAATTTAGAAAAGTAATTGAATTGTATTTAATTAAATTATGTAAATTAATTAAAAACATTACATTAATCGAAATATAATTTTATTAATTTCAATACAATTAATAATTAAAATAATTTATTTAAAACGTATATTTCATTTGAGTTTATAAACTTTATAAATGTTATAATATTATAATGTTTGTCTCATTGAATGTAATGACGTGATTGTTGATTGTATGGATCGCATGGTTTGTGAAACTCCTGTCCCATCGATTGGATCCCTTTAATGGCAATCCATTTGTGTCCTTCCAGTACAGGACATCCGCCGTGCCGTAGCTGTCTATCGAGTTGACCTGATTTGTCCAAATTGTACCAAAATATTGCCGAGTATTTTATGGGCCATACGGTCACATTGAGGCGCGGGAATACAGTGGCCCCACCGGCACCCACATCGCTCAGGTAGATGAGCCACGTGGCGATAACCGCCCATACGGTGATTGATGGGCCTGGTTTCAAATGATGCCCGTCGTAGTGATCGTCAAAATATCCGCCAACACTATACTTAATAGGTTTGTATGGTTTGGCAAAATCCATGTTAAGGCCAGTAATGGCTCCGATACGTCGGCTGATTGTGTGCAGGGATTTGTGATGTCTGTCCCAAAGACGACTACCCTTCGCAAGTTGGATATTAACTTTCTTGTCATCAATTTTGCCATCAATTCCCAAAACGGATACTTTTTCAATTGATGGCTGAGCCAAAGTTATCATAGTTTGTGTCTCGTATTCAGACAGGAATTCATGGATTACAACGATTTGCGGACTTTTGTACATCTCTTCTACTTTAATGCGAGTCAACCGTAAAAACGGTGTTTTCGTTGTGTTTAAGTAAAAACACTTGAGTTTAGAGGCAATCGAGTCATTCAAAAGTCTTTCTCCTCGACATAATTCATATGCATTTGAAGACA